TGGGCGGGGCGTCTCCTCTCTGGGCGAGGGTTGAGTGTGGCAGGGATGCTGGGCCGGAGCCGGAGTCAGTAGCTGAGGAGCGAGGTGCCGGCGCGAAAGTTGTGTCGCTCCGCTCTCGAAACTCCCGCGTCTGACTCCAGCGCACGGCTGCACCGCTCACCTCGTGCTCAACGTCCCTTGGTTGTCGTGCCACCTCCGCTCGGTCCCCGAACTCGCTCCCAGTGCCCGGTCCCCGGTTCGTCCCTTCCGCTGGAGCTTATCTCGTCGCGGAAAGTTTACTACTTTAGTGTCGTGTGCTTCCTTTGACCCTGTCGCCTCCGCGGCCGCTGGACCCCGCCTTGTCTCCAGGTCAGTCAGCTGTTTCGTCGATAAGCGTCACCCCCTCCCCCGTCTCCATCAAAATTTCCGTGGAAAATTTCCGCGAAAAAAATTAAAGATCTACTCCCCTACAATCAACAGAAATACAAACCCTTTACGTGCGATGAACCCAATATTACTACCGAAATTCTGAAACTCTTCACCTCTCTTAATTTAAAAATCTAAATTTTCGTATGTACTTCCATTGTCAAAATTCTCTGTAAAGACGTTAATAGCTTGTGACGCTGAATGTCTTAAAGTATACTATCTAACTGACTAAATATGTATCGTTTTATTTGTGGAAATACAAAATATACAATAAGACGAGCGATGTGCCGCCCCCCCCCCCCCCTAAGATTACGTCTCTAGTAACAATAAAAAGATAATGATCAACTTAGGTGATTGTAGACTAAGGAGACGAGTGACCTGTTATGTAAGATAACCTACATAGGAAAAAATTACAATGTATTTATGCATGATGAAAAAAAAAAACCATTATAAGTCATAAAGACCAGTATTATAAGTTCTTAATGCGCTATGTTTCCAATATTCGTCAGATTTTTTCCCCGATATGGGAAATTGTAGGTGTACAGATTTGTGAAAAGTGAGAAAATCTGCCGCCTTGTGATGTCATCAGCCGACTTTTTCCGTTTAAACACATGTATTTTAGCAGATTAGATAATATGCTCGTACCGCCTCCAATAATCGTTCATTTAAGAAACCAGGGATATTTTCACGCTCACTCTATTGTTCATTAATTCACAATGGTCCCCATCAGTGCCCCCCTCCCTCCCCAATCAAAGTCCTCAGTGAAACTTGAGTCCATATAAGGCAGTCATTAGTAAGATGGGATCACCTTATTGGCTCATTTCAACAGCGTCATATCTGCTAACAATCTCCCGAACATCTAGGTGTTTATAGGTTGGTCAGATGATGTTAAAACTTGGCATGTCCAAAAAATCAGTTAATGATTTTTTTTGCGAAAAACTCTTCTTTGAAAAGGCTTCCACCATCTTCCTGAATATTACGCAACAACTTTGACCATTCAACTCATTTGATTGATGAAAAACTGCCGGAGTAGGCATAGCTGTGTCGTGAAATAGGGCTCTTTCGCACTTTTTCAATTTCTCTCAGTTGTCGTCACAGCACAATTGGTCAACACTGTGATTGGAAAATATTACATTCCTATTAACCTCCAACGGATCGTGGCAATATATCGAAAGCTGTTAAACTTT